CCCCCCCCCCCCCCCCCCCCCCATAGACTGGTTACTCTCCCAAGACCATATTAACTTATAATGGGGGAAAATTTATCACCACATCTAATAGTTTCAATTTTACAATTTACTTTTTATATAGGTTAATAATTGGACTGGCATTGATATCGGGCCATGGATCTATAATGTTGATTAAATCATCAATGGATTACAGCATTAACTCCTAGGATATTGGATTTTATTTTGTAATGATAATAAATAATAATTATTATTTTTAGAATATATTATTTTATTTACTTGATATTTTTCATAATATAATTAACTAAAATAAATAACATATATAAGCTTCAAAATGTAATAAGTAATAACGTTTCTATTATTGTGCATTAATATTGAAGGCATAGCATTTAGAGGACGTTAGGACGAATCCCTGCCCCCGCGGCTCTGCGCTAAGGAAAATCATGTGAACCCCTCTCCCTCTCATCAATGACAAGTTCCTAAATGCACACCTGGTCCGGTAATGTTCTTGCGTGATTAATCTATAGGAAAAATTCCTAAATTATAGTGTCAAGATCTCAGATGATTAATGAACGTGACACATTTTTTCCCGAGTGTGAATATCGTTTATAAATAATATCTAGAATATTACTTCGACATTATCGAAACGAATTATTTTTAGAAGTGGGTCGATTCTTCTTGATATCGGCGGTATCGGTAATTTTTTAGCCGATATCTGTCCGATATTATTTTCATTAAAAATGGCCATGTCTTTGATGAAAAGCATTAAAAAAAAAAAAAAAATCAATATCGTCTCCTGGTTTTTGATTTCGATTATCAGGTATTGGTTTTATATTTATTAGGGGTATTTATTTCTATAAATATTATCACGAATACTGTCGGTAAACTTTTCATCCGCTATATTGATATTTATTATCTCGTAAACCTATTTATTTTTTTTCACCCCACCTCTTCCCAGGCAGACTAAAATATTATATTTTATATACTCGTTTACGAAAAACGTTATTATCAGAGTCATTATTATTGTATTATATAAAACCTTTTTGATAGGTACCCGGGAATTATTATTAATTCCTTTATAACGCCGCGTCTAATATTACTACCCACTATATTATACGGTACTAAACCCGAGAGTATAATTTAATCTCAAAACTCTATAATAATCTATATAGCGGACGGATACCCTTTATTAGCAGTTACTCGTATTATATTAGCTTATAGACCAACTCGGTTTTTATTATTATTATACATAGTCGGTAACGCGCGAAATAATTAATGAAAATTCTGTACTGTAAACAGAACGTATCACGTTTCCAACGTTACGAAATATTTTGAATACTATTTTCAACTTTTGTGAAAATTACTTGTAGGTTATTATACCATTTTATAAAAATAATATTACAAAGTTCAACACAGTACCAGGGCCGGATTTGACTAAAAGTCACCCTGAAGCTAATAATAAAAAGGTCCTATTTCTTGTTGTATCGCCCATTTAATTATCGTATGTTTAAATGATATTCAGCTAATTTCGGGCTATTTTTACTAATTTACAAAAAATAAAAATGCAGATATGAATTATATTTAAAAAAAAATCAACATTCCTGCCGGCCACGGCAATACTCCTGAAGTCGTAACACCCCTGTAGGCTATAGTCTATGTAGCCAGTCCTAAATCCGATCCTACACAGGGATTTTTACAACGTTATAAAATAAATATGTCATTATTTATTACAATATATACGAGCAGATGCCAGATATACGACCATACCTTTATAACCGTATAAAGGTTATACAATCGTACAACGAGTAATTTCAACTACCGAACAAATATGCAAGTACAATTCAAGTCGTATGCAATGCAATTTTTCATATAGTATATCTATAATATATATCATAGGCCATATGGAAAATTAGTCTCTCTGCAAAAAGACTAGGCTCTTTGCAACGGGCTACCCCGTTTGAAAACTACTTATTATTTGTCCACTTATATGAAAAAAAAAATGAACAAAAGAATTATAATATGTAAACTGTATAATAGTACCTATTATATTTATCGACACATAATACGTGATGGAATCTGCGAGGTAATGACTAATCAGTAGATTAGATTGTAACTTTTCACTACAGTTAGTTATTTAGTGACATTAGTAATGTGCATTAAAAATACTAATAAATAAAATCAGTAATACACTAGTCGAAAACTGTACAATAATATACAACTTCACTAAATAAATATAATAGGTAATTTTACAGTTTACATATTATAATTGTTTTGGTTTTTTTTTTTGTAAAAGTAATAAATTACAATAAAATCACTAAGTATACAACAATTGCAGTTCTTAATAGGTCTAACTGCTGTTAGACTGAAGTCTTCAATATAAGCCTGAAAAATAAGAAGTGTTTTGCAAACGTAGAGTATGAGTTTTAAAATACCAAAATAATCAATACATTTAATGCGCAATATCATAGTAGGCGCCTCGCGAGAGTTAGCTAATAATTTTAAGTATAGCGTAGTATATTATAATCGTAATGGATTTCGCTTTGCTTTCATAGCTTTAAAAACGTGTACATTTATCGTCGTCAGACGCCTTGCGCGTATAAAATAATAAAATGTTGTATTAAGTTCCGAAACAATTAATTAAAATTTGACCGGATAAACATAATTGTTTAACTAATACCCGATACCTGTTGATTGTATTGAAAGTTTATGGATTTTGGATCGGCTGATGAAAACTTTCGTCCGGGAAAAATAAAACAGTGACATTTTTTTTAAATATTATATAATATGCTTACATTGTCATTATTACATTTACTATCATAATATTGTACAAACCTATAGTATTTTGAACCTATAATGGAAAAAGTTTTAAAATGTATGTATTTTTATTTTATAATCGTGTAGCTGCAGCGGTCTGTCTTTTTTTTAAAAAAATTTCCATTAACAATAAATATGAAATCGATTGTAAAATGATCGCAATCACTATTGACAATGTCCGGTCATAATAAATAAATACATCCATCGATTATGGTTCAAGGATATACGATAATTGTTGATTTAGAGGGTCAGTCATCGCATATAAGTACCGACGTATTTTTAATACCAACATGTCATATTAAAATGCAGTTAACGACCCTCTTATTTACTGTTTCAATTTTACAAAAAGCATTAAAATGATTATATATCGATCGAACCTCGACTATGTTTATATAAAATATTATGAAAGTATGAAATATTGTTTGAAAAACAATCAGGTATATCAGGCAATTTTTTCCGAGTAATCTTGATAAACTACTGTACAAGAAAAAAAATCGTACACCTTCATAATTATTATGCCGGTGGGGGTATAGGTACTTGATACAATATGGTTGTACTTAAAAAAAATTACGTAAATTAAGTTTTTTTTTTTTTTTTTATGAAAATATACTTTTTCGATGTTGCGTTTTATCCGGATTAATTGTAACATTGATAAACGGTGAAAAAGCTATTCGATTCATTACATACATATTTGGATCGTCTAGATAAATCTTTTTAAATCGTCGTTTTCATATTTATCAAAAATAACGGATAAACAATAATTTACGTGAATACACAAAACCTTCAAACGAAATATAGACGTGGATAGATGAAACAATTTTACAAATTTTAACGCTTTTTTTCACGATAGATAAAATTATGTAATTATTATTATTATTAATAATAATAGATTCCTGATTATTTTTTACCTTTATCTCTATAGACAATTAAATCGTTGTAATCGAATCTTTTTCGTTCGTTCGGAGACAATATTATTCCGACGATCTCGTATCTTAATTAATATTATTGTTTATTGAATTTTCAACTATACAAAATAGCAATAAAATTACGTAAGATATAATCAAAGGGTCGGTCACCTCCAAGCCAATGACTGTGCATAGATGAGAGAACGGTTATTAGGTAAATTTAAATTAATAGGACAAAATTAAACGACATGATAATATAACTATTTAATAACATTTTTAAAATGACAGATCATAAAAGTCCAAAACATTGACACTAAATTTAATACAAAATATTTCACAAGCACACAGTATGGTCCAGACTGAGCGAAAGTTGTTCTTAACTTAGGAATACATAAATTAACATTATTTCTGAAACGAGAATTATTACGAGTACGGACTGGTAAAGTTACGGTATTTGTATGTTTAAATAATAACACACAAACACGGTATCGTCGGAGTGAAGTAAGATTGGAAAAAAAACGTAATTTCGTGAGCGGAGTCTCGGCTTGTTGAATAATTACTTTGCCGACGGATTTAATACGGTCTCCGAATCAATCGAACGCGTTCCATAAGCAGCGCCCCAAAAAGCAGTTCCGTAACATCTCGTCCGTTATTTCAAATCCGGACGTTTCAAAATGCACACGACAATGCGGTGACTTTTCCTGTTGCGATGTTTGCCGCATTGTTTCGTGTGGTCGGCTGCAGTGGACCCACCGCGGGGCGCTGCTATTACAACACGCGCAGGTACCGCGAGCGTTACAAAACGTGATAATATTATTATTATTTATCACGCTCCGCGGTCGTATGATGAAAATCGTCCGGCGGAAAAACCCGTCCGGAAACGCAATTCAAACAACAAAACGTTTCCGTACGCGGCGAAACGGCCGATACGCGCGGAGGATTCTTCGCCACACATTCGGA